GGGTTCTGTTGTGTCCCTTATGCTATTTAGCATCTACATGAAACCTCGGGGAGAGGTTGTGCTGCGTTTTTGGGATGCAGCCTGTACTGGATAGTACAGTACACTCCCTCTGAAAGCACAGGTGCTGAACTTGGGGGGGGGAGCTCCTGGATTTGTCTCTGAGCCTGCATGTGCATGTTTCATCAGTGGCCAGGAGTGCGTTTGCACAGTTAAAACTAGTGCTCCAGCTATGCCCATTTCTTGAGAGATCTGATCTGGCTATAGCGAGACATGTCCTAGTTACATCTTGGCATGCATACTCTATGTGGGGCTGCCTTTAGAAAGTGTTCGGAAACACCAGAGGGTCCAAAATGCAGCTGCCAGATAGCTAACTGGGGCTGGTTACAAGGAACATACAAGTCTCCTGTTACAACAGCTCCACTAGCTGCTGATCCATTTCTGGGCACAATTAAAAGTGCTACTTCTAACCTATAAAGCAGCGGTCCCCAACCTTTTCGGGGTCGTGGACCAGCTGGGGGGAATTGAGCTCTATGCGCGGAGAAGCGGGGGCAACTCCACGTAAGTGTGGTGGGCATGTCATGCTCATGCAGTGGGCGTGCCGTGCTTGCATGGGCATAACACAGCCACCACGCAGGCAGGATGTGTGTGGAGATCTGTATCCATGGCCTAGTTCCAGCAAGCTCATGGACTGGCACTGGGCCATGGACCAGGGGTTGACGACCCCTGCTAGAAAGCCCTAAATGCCTTTGGACCAAGCTATCGCAGGGATTGTGTCTCCCTTTATGAGCCTTCCTGGGTGTTAAGATAATCAGGGGAGGCCTTTCTCTCAGTCTCATCACCCTCACAAATGCATTTGGTGGGGACACAAGAGAGGGCCTTCTCTGTGGCTACTCACAAACTCTGGAACTCCCTCCCACAGGAGGCCAGGCTGGCCCTATCTTTGCTGTTCTTCTGCAAGCAGGTGAAGACCTTTCTCTTCAGGCAGGCTCTCCCTCAGTGACTGGCTTTATGAAAGGGATTTTAAACAGAGTGTTATGCTTTGTTGCTTTGAACCTGTTTTTGGTGTTGGTTTTGTTTACCATTTTTAGTGTGGTCCTGGATTATTTTTAATATTTGTATACACACTGTTTTTAGCTTTTAAATATTGTATTTTAATGATGTAAGCTGCCTTGGGTGAAAGGTAGGGTAAAAAACTAAACTAAACTAAACTAAACTGAACTGAACTAAAATAAATAAATAAATATCTGATTCCATGCTTCTATGTCTACAATATATTTGTTATTGGTTTGCTTTTGAATGAAGGATATTTGCAAAACAGTCTTAATTTTTTATTGTTTTGCTCAAAAAATCTAATAAAATAAAAAATGAAGCAAAAAAGCAGCGTTATCAAAGCAACCCTGTTGTGATGCATGTGAAAGGGCTTCCCAGTGTCAATCAGGCTGGACCTACATTTAGTTTTACTGAAAAGAAGCTCACAGCCTTGAGTGGGGCAAGTAAATTATTGTTTGAAATCCATTAGTAACTTGCACCTTGAGTAGGCCCATTGATTCAGTGGGGATTTGGTGAGTCAACTCCTCTAAGTTCCATTGATTCAATGGGGCACCTCTAAGTGCAACATGCTACTGGATTTCAAGCCAGTGTGTGAGGCAAATCCTCAGTGGGTCTCCTTTAAGCATGATGAGTTCTGGATCCAGCCCACTGTCGCTCTTGGCCAGTCCTCCCTACAGAGCATACAATGGGCTTGTGCAGAGCCTGTTTCTCTGGGTGTGGCTGGCAGTCACACAATACTTTGCTTGGAGTTGCCAAGGCTCTCGGGCAAACAAATGGGGACGCCTGGGCCACCTTTCGCATTTCTTGATCTTCCTGCTGGGCCGTACGTGTGCATGAGGATCCTCTTTCCTTCCACGGCTTGCTCTCCAGAGCCCTTATCCTGGTGGCAGAATTAAAAGAAAGTTTCTCTCCTCCATATTTCTGCCTAGCAAGAGCTGCATTCTTCCTTTTGTTTTACTTTCCACCTGAGAAAATTCACAGTGAACTACCAGTAGACAGCACAACCCATATGGAAAAGGAAATCTGAGATCGGAGGGTGTGACTTGTGCAAAGGACAGACTGGATTTGGGGATTGCTTTTCTGCCAAATGGGAATATTCTCCTCTGCATTTAATAACTGCAACTTTTGCGTGATGGCACAGTTTGCGTTGCTAAAGCCAGGATGCCTCCGTAAAGCCCATCGCAGTACTGCTAGGGGTGTCTAGCAACCGACCAGTGGGTACCCTATGAGTTGGGTTTCTTAATTTGCTGTGCTTCTGTTTCTTCCTTTACTCCATTTTGCAAAACATGGCTGGCAAAGCAGGAGAACCTCGGGTCCCCCTGACGTTGCTGAAGTCCCGGCTGAAAGCTGAGGAGAAGATCCTAGACTTTGACTTTGAGCTGACGAGCGTGCAGTTCAATGAGACGGGAAGATATTTTCTGAGGCTGACGGCAGAGAACCCACTGCTGGAAGGATCGGGAGCTGGTGTGCGTCTCCAGGTCAATGAAGGAGAAATCCTGTACACCAACACGGCCACCACTGATGTTGTGGAGCAAAGCAACCTGAATGAAGTCTATACCTTTGAGAAACGGAGGTTCCTCTTCACCCTGCCCAAAGGTGAGGAGATGGGAGAGGAGTGGCAGTAATTAAGGCATGATAACTGGAGATTTGACCCAGGGTGCAAAATTTGCTGCTGGAATGGTATGAAGTTTCCTGTTGATTAGGGATGGCATTTTCAGGGTTTGGGGAAATGCGCTCCCAGAACTCACTCAGAATCCACCACCCTCCAGGCAGAATCCTGGGAGAGGAAGCCCCAAAACAGACACTTACAGAGGAGTTTTCCAGATCCAGGTCCTGTGAAAAGTAAAGAAACCACTCTCCTACTCCCTGGGACTCACAACGCTTCATGGGAGAGAAAGTTCCATGGGAAGCCCCCTTTTATTTCTGTGAATAGCCTGGGGGATAATTCTGTGATATATTTCATGGAAAAGAGGGGGAAAATGCAAGTGCTGCTTCTGTTACTGTTGTCCCTCAAAGAACTGGAAAGAGGATGTATGGTGAGGTATCTGAATCAATCACTCAAGGATGTTCCCTGTGCAGGTTTTGAACTCTGATCTTCCTGGATTTTCCATTACAAGAGGAGCCAGTTCCCTGCTGGGTCTTTTTCCTTATAGTTTTTAGGCGAGCATGGGGGAAATGATGGCAACCAATAGGAGAGGTATACCCATTCCTTCTCTTCCTCATGTGATTCTAGTCGTGTAGCATTTAACTCATCACCCAGCAGAGGGGGGGGGGGATATAATTTTTTGTCCTTGCCTGCAAGAAGTAAATAAGAGAAGATCTGTACCGTTTATAAAGAGCCTTTCAAACAAAAAGCCATCCAAACCGTCACCCTGTCTTGTGGCAATGGGTTCCTTTGGTTGATATGTAAAATAAGAAGGCAGCAAAATGAAGGCATAGAACGATAGAAAGCATTTCTCAGAAATGTCATGGTTCAGAACAGTCTCATTATTTCATTTCATTTCTATGGTGTCTTTCTCCCCAAGGTGGCTCACAAAATTAAAACAATACCATAGTCACAGTTTTTAAAATGCCGTGGAAAACGATATTAAAGTGCAATTAAATATTTTTTTGATAGGGATGGCTTTTTCTAAGCTTAAATGCCAATTTTAAAACATTTTTGAAAAACAATCCTTTGCTTAGGTCTCCTGATATTGTTGGTTTATTCTTCTCATCATCCCCGGACAGCCTGGCCAATAATGAGAACCTGGTGGGCACTCCAAACATCTGGAGATCTGTGGCTAGGGAAAAATTATCTGAAACACTGGTTCCTGACTGAGTTCTCCAGATGTTGGTGGACCTCAATAACCAGAAGTTCCAATTGGCATGGTCAATGTTGAGGCATTCTGGGAGCAGCAGTTCAACAACATCTGGATGCCCACAGACTCAGGGACACTGTCTAGTGGAAGAGATGTGTGTGCAATAACTGATTTCCCCAAAATTTAGTCATAAGAAAGTCCTGTTGCTTTACTGAGTACCTAGTAGAGCCGCACCTTCAGTCTAAAGAGTTTTACTCTAGAGTGGAGGTAGAAACTCAAGGCCCTGCAGATGTTATTGGGCTCCATCCCTCATTAGCACATCAGTATGGCTTATAGGTAAAAGGTAAAGGTTTCCTTTGACATTTTAGTCAGTCGGTGTCTGACTCTAGGGGCCGGTGCTCATCCCTGTTTCCAAGCCGTAGAGCCAGCGTTGTTGTCACCTGGCCAGTGCTGCTATACACGGAATGCTGTTTACCTTCCCACCAAGATGATGCCTATTTATCTACTCCGGTGGTCCGGTGGGCCAGATAGGCGGGGTATAAATTAAATAAATAAATAAATAAATAAATAAATAAATAAATAAATAAATAAATACTCGCATTTACATGCTTTCGAACTGCTAGGTTGGCGAGGAGCTGGGACAAAGTTACGGGAGCTCACTCCGTCACGTGGATTCAATCTTACGACTGCTGGTCTTCTGACCCTGCAGCACACAAAGGCTTCTGCGGTTTAGCCCGCAGCGCCACCACGTCCCTTTATGGCTAATAGCTCTAGATTATTTCACTTTTTTGTTCAACATCTTTTGAAAGATTGCATATCCCCTGCCCTTGCTCTTGTTGGGATGCCTATGCTAGTGAATCCCCCTGGAGTATTAGCGAAGGAACCACAAATCTATTTTATCTAAGTCATGCGTGGAGAAATCAGGTCCAAAGTTTTCAGAGGGCGGAGAACTGACAGAAGTTCATTCGAATGGATTACTTACGGGTTTTGTTGTTGTTGTTTTAAATAGGCTTCTGCAAAAATGACAAAACCCATGATGCCCGGCTGCGAATTGAAGCCTTACGCCTCCATGGTTCCTCGCTGAAGAGCAGCATCAAAACGGGGGAGGCTTTCTTTGCCATCTACCCCCGCACCAACCAACCACGCATGAATCTTTTTGCGAGCCGAGATGAGGACCTGTACCGCTATAGTGACATTATGGTGCTGCTGCGGGCAGGCAGGGATGAACTGGCAATGCATTGTGGGAGGCTGGCCTACACAGTGTCCTTCCATGAGCACCGTCCGGTGGCCCAGAGAAGGACGCCCATAACGCCTCGACGCCTTTCACCTTTGCCTCCTGGCAAGCAAGGGGAGATGCCCGTGGAAACGAGTCAAACTAATTACCCACCTCCTTTACAGTATTTGGGGATCCCTCACCAAACTGGTCCAGTGTCTATAGCGGAGCCACCCTTTCCATTTTCACTGACTGCGGAATCCCGTGCTTTTGGGGTAAGGAACAATAGCGGTTCTTGTCTACATGCCCATTTTGGAGCGGGCTAAGTAGGGTTTCTGGGGGGGTAGCTATTTGCATCCAAACAGCCTACAGAGTTGAAGCGACCCTCTTTGGTCCCCACCAGCCCACTGTCAGAAGTGGAAGGAGACAGGAGGGGAATACGAGAGGGATTGTTGTTTGCTTTTGTCGTAAAGAGCCAGTCAAGAAAAGCAAACAAAAATCCCCTTCCTGTCTCCTCCTGCCACCGCTGCTGCACCACTTGCCCCTTTAAAAAAGCCTAGCCAAGCCCCCCGCCCCACACAGAGGCAAGCAGGCAGACAGATAGGGGTAGGTCTCTCTCTGTCTCTGTCTCTGTCTCTGTCTCTCTCTCTGTGTGTGTGTGTGTGTGTGTGTGTGCACATGCACAGGAGGGTTTGGCTTTCCAAAGGCAACCTTCCCACACTGCCTTTGGAAAATTAACCACTTCCACAAAGCCAGGGAAATTTTTCGCTCTATAAGACGCACTTTCCC